AATAACCTCGTGGTGCCAGCTGGGTTATTCGGGATTATCCCGTTCCAGCGAATGGTTCGGCAGCAGTGTTCCAGAACGTGATGGGTTTTCGTTGGGCAAGCGTTCTCACTATAAAAAGCCACATATCTCCGTTTAACAACACTGTGACGTGGCGGATGTGACTCGCCACTAAATAAAGTCACTGCCCCTTGCCTCTATCTGAGGGGCATTGTAATTCAAGGGTGTGTTTGGCCCCTTGTCCTATGAGGTCCTAAAGGCGTATGAACCACCTGTTTGGTCACCGGTTCCCAACGGGTTGGGATACCTTCATATCGCCCTGCCGCCATGTAGGTTAGATTCTTGATCCAAAGCTCGGGGTAGGGCCCCCTAAGACAACCCTCTGCTTTGGCCTGGGCAACCGCGTAGTATCTCGCCCACTGACGAACCATGGACTTACAACCACAACCATTTACCCGCTGTCTTGCTGCTACCATGCTACTCACTCATGTTACTATGCCCACTGCACAAGCACACGCCACCATTTTACCTGATTCCTCTATGGCGATCAACCCGACCTACACCGATGAACCTGTTCCCGTGACATCTGCCAACTCAACCACACAATGCTCAACAGAGAGCTGCCGGTCCCAAAGTCTCCCATCTTCGCTCCTGCAACCCAGAACACAGTTCAAACTTGCAGCATTCAACGTACGCACATTACTGCAGATCGGTCAGCAAGCTGGATTTGCACGCACGCCAGAGACTCTTGGAATTGATATCTACTGCCTGAATGAAGCACGACTCCAGGACTCCAACTCGGTCCACCAGATGGTGTCACCGCTCCACCCACACACCCGCTCCCATCTCTGCCTCTCTGGTGACGCCGAGTCTGATGCATCTGGGCAAGCTGGTGTTGGAATCGCCCTCAGCGCTAGAGCCGAGACTGCTTTGATTTATTGGATTCCGATCAATAGTCACCTTTGTGCGATGAGGCTCCATGGCTCTTTTAAAGTTAGCAGACGTCGAGTCGAAAAGCGTGCTCTCTTCGTGATCGCTGACTACGCACCCACTGATTGTAACTCGGACACAGTCAAAGACCAGTTATACCAGAACGTTCATGAGCTGCTTCTAAGGACTCCTAAAACAGACATCATTGTTTCGGCAGGTGACTTCAACGCGCGTGTCGGTCGGCTGCTGCCATCTGAGCGCCAACTCGGGGGACCGCATAGATTTAATGCTCGCTCAGACAACGAAGAGAAACTGCTCAATCTGTGTGGTGATCGTCAACTATTCCTCTTCAGCACCAGCTTTCGTCATCCTGGAGGCCAGTACGCCACTTGGCGCACCCCATCACCAACCCAGTGCTGGTTACAGATTGACCACTAGCCATAAGTCGCAGGTGGAGCGGCAGCGTACGTGAATGCCGATCATTTTTGTCAAAACGCGTCGATACCGATCATGCACTGGTATGTGCAACTGTTTGCATGCGTTTCGATGGTCCACCTAGGTCCAAACACACCCGACTGAACACCAGGTTGGAGGACCCAGCGGTACAGCAGGAGTATCAAGAAAGGCTTCGTGAAAATCTCGCTCTGTCTCCTTCTCTGGATGTTGATCAACACTGGTCAAGTCTGCAACAAGCCATGCTGTCGGCCGGTTTGTCTAGCTGTGGTCACGCTCGCTCCACTCCCAAAAGCTGAATCTCGGGAAGATCCTCGGAATTTTTGGATCGCCTACGAGCGGTGCCTGCTGGCGCAGAGTATAACGAATACCGCCGGTCTATTATGCAACAGCTGAAAGCAAGCCTTCACTCTGATCGTAACTTCTGGTGGTTAAAAGGAGCTGATGAGATGGAAGCTTCTGCATCAGCTGGCAACTTCCGCCGTCTATTTTACATCCTCAGGGCCACCGGTTGCAATCCTCACGCTATCAGCCAGACAATTTGCGGATCAGACGGTACGAAGATCACGAACCTTCACAGGCGCTTGGGTCGCTGGGCAGAGCATTTCGCTCTCCAATTCAACCACTCAACACAGCCCCCTGTGGCACCTCCAGCGTCAACTGATGATGCTTGGCCTGTCTCCACAGGTCCCTTAACTGAAGCAGAGATTCGAGATACAATCCATTCTTTGAAACGCCACAAGGCTCCGGCCCTGACAGCCTACCACCGGCTCTATTCAAAGATGGCGGGAGTGTACTTGTCAGCGAAATCCTATCGCTGTTCACGAAACTTTGGACTGAAAAGATTCCGAACTCATGGGGCGATTCGGTCATTGTTCCGTTTCACAAGTAAGGCTCCCGCTACGATTGCTGTAACTACTGCGGAATCTCGTTGATCTCTGTCGCATCCAAATTATTCGTTTCGGTCTTACTTAGAAGGGTTTCAACGACTAGATAGGAGTTTTCCCGAGAAGAACAAGCCGAATTTCGTCAAGGCCGCGGCTGCATCAACCAACTCTTCACGCTTCACTAAGTTCTCGAACTTCGTCACATCTACCGGCGGCGAACAACTGTATTGTTCTTGGACATCCGAGCGGCATTTGATTCAGCAGGTAGATCTGCGTTGTGGAACTGTTTGCTGAAGAAAGGTGTGCCCGACACGTTTGTAACCATCCTGAAAGAACTTTACAGTCACACGTCGGGCAAAGTCAGGGCTTACTGCATGCTTTTTTCCTCATTTGCTGTGACCAGTGGTGTTCGCCAAGGTTGCCCTATTTCATCTTTCCTCTTCAATTTCGCCATCAAAGATGTTGTCCAAAGAGCACTGGAAGGTGTCTAGGACTGCAATGTTGAGCTCTTCCCTGCAGACCGAGTAACGGGCTTGGACTACGCCGATGATATCGCCTTGCTGGTGGATGACCCACAAACCGTGCAGAGCGCTTTGGACCGCTTGTCGATGGAGGCGTCTAAGTACGGCTTGTGCTTCACTCCAAGAAAATGTAAAACGCTGCTCCAAGACTGACAGGTGCCTGAACCCGCGCTCACCATTGCTGTACATGTTCTGGAGCAAGTCCCTTGCATCACGGCTGGTGGCGGTGTTGGAGATGAAGTCTCACAACGGTTTGCAAAGGCCGCCTTGCATTTATCAAACTGAAACACCTATTGCGTCATTCTGATGTCAGTCTTAAGCTCAAGGGCAAGGTGTACAACGCTTCTGTCTGTGCAGTACTCTTGTACTGCTGTGAGACGGCATATTCGCTCGGAAAACATGAAGCGGCTGTCAGTCTTTGACAATCGCTGTCTATGAAGGATTGATCGGGTGTGGTGGCACCACCACGTAAGCAACGCAGAGATCCGAGACCGCATGCTTGGAGCGAATAGTGCCATTCTTCAGGACGTTGTTCTCCAACACCGCATGCCTTGGCTCGGACACTTTCTGCGCATTCAAGCCCATCGTCTTCCACGTCGAGCGCTATTTGCACTTCTTGGGGAGATTGGAAAAAGTGCCGCGTTGGACAGCCAGTGACTTGGAGGAGGAGGAGCATGAAGAAGGCAGGCTTATGTTTGGCGGCAGTCGGACCTTTCCGTCTTTTAGGTTGGGGACCACGAGATGCTGAATGGCAGTGGTTGGAAACATTAGACGTCATGGCCGTCAACAGACATCAGTGGCGTTAATGTTGTTCTCCCATTATATCCCCCTTTAATACACACAAACACAGAACAAAAACAAGGAATACAAGATGTCGTGTGTAAAACCAAAAAAATCGTTTAACATTTTTTCGCTCGCAGCTCGTGTGTCCATCTTCACCTTTTTTCTTCTGCCATAGCTCTGATGGCACAAGCCACACAATAGATTATTAAGGTACGATTTCTTCTTAACAAATCCATGCCGTTCGATTCCAATTAACTTGTGATCAACTAATTGCTTAAATATTCGTCTTCGAATAAGTTTTTTAAGCATTTGAATAAAACCCTGATGACACTCATTCGAATCGTATTCAATGTCTCTTACGAAGTCTACTTACTTTGCGAAGACCAGCTCCAAGATTGACCCAATTGAACCTGGTTGGCCGATCAATAATTTTCTGTAAGGGAACATGCACGGTTACATCTAGAAACTAGCAAAGTTCCCCGGAGCAACATTATGGAAGAAATTCTGCCAGTCAAAATTTTATAGATTGCATTTTCCCGTCACAAAACATCTATTCTTTGGGTGAGCACGGATTAAACCAATAAGACGAGGTCATGTTTGGACTGTTGATCGTGGTCTGACCTAATTTCACTAATTATTTCTCATTTTTTGGTTATGACAATTGTACATGCGTTCTTGCACTACGCTCCGTTATTTGCTACTAGATTTCCTTGTGTTCAAGTTCAAGTGCAACTGGAACAGCAGGAAAACTTTCCGTGAATGTTCTTTCCATGGTGCGTCGTTGATCCATGGTATTATTCGTCCGCGATAACTGAAATCTAGAAGAGTCAGATCAGCTCGCGCGAATCACCACGGTTAACCAGTTAATACCCACGCAACCTGCATTGGCAGTCCCCGCCGCACCGGTTACGTGAAATAAGAAACAGACTTACAAAAGTCATAAGAGCCTTAAGAACCAAAAAGCAATAGTTTGAATAATTCAATAAGGCGAATAAGCTAAAAGGTGAAGGGGAATGTTAAGAAATGAACGCCAAGAGAGTCAAGTCGGTGTTCGAACTCCTACCGTTGGTGCCAATACCACGTTCTGTGGCAGTGTATTCCAATACTCGACCACTCGGTGTGATGAACATAAATTCTCCCGTACTCTGTCCGATCGAGGTTTGTGTAGCTTCATCGAATGACCTCGGAGAGATGGAAGCCGAGCAGGATATAGTTTACAGATACGGGTTAAATTTTATCTGGATTATACCTCGCTCTCTCCAAATCGAAAACATAGTAAATGTAAAATTTTGAAACTATCCTTGACGCTCGTATTACTTGGTCGTGACATGAAACATGGATGCGATGCTTCAATGCTATAACAATTTAGTGTACGTTACGTAGCGCTTGAGTTGAACGATCGACTGATAGGCAAACTATTCCGATTTACCAGTTACTTGTTTGCGGTTGCAAAATAGACTCATTGTTAAACTGTTGTGCATCTGCAGCTTGACATTTGATTTACTGGGTGACTGTGTAATATTCCTTCGGTCCGGCGTTCTGAGCTCTTCCGTGTCCAAGCAGTGTGACAAGCTGCAATGCAAAATAAATACCTCGTAGACGGCTGTACGCTCGAGCCGCCTAGTAAGAGGCCGATGTAAAGGAAGCAGCTAAGGAAGCACGAAAGAGGGAAGGAAGAGTGCCGGAGAGGAATATGAGATTAATGATAACAGGAAACAAAACCGATCGACCTCTTACCTGTTAACGTGACGCCCGCGGACCGGCTACATTATCACCCCTCTTAGCAGGCGCTGTCCTCAGCGCCCATAATGGCCCATACCGGCATCAATTTATGTACCTTCAAGAGGCATTGAGCGCGGTATATTAGGCTCGGAAGATACAACGACAAGCAGCACGATAGTAGAAAGTTAACTGTTGCCTCCAGGGCTACAATCTAGCTAGGGTGGACTGCTGTCGTGAACTGGCAGGGTCGCCAAATATGTAATATTCCTTCGGTCCGGCGTTCTGAGCTCTTCCGTGTCCAAGCAGTGTGACAAGCTGCAATGCAAAATAAATACCTCGTAGACGGCTGTACGCTCGAGCCGCCTAGTAAGAGGCCGATGTAAAGGAAGCACGAAAGAGGGAAGGAAGAGTGCCGGAGAGGAATATGAGAGTAATGATAACAGGAAACAAAACCGATCGACCTCTTACCTGTTAACGTGTTACCGTGACGCCCTCGGACCGGCTACAACTGTATAAGGCGCGAATATGAATAACATGACTCAAACACCCTGTCACTGTCTAATTTGTCCGAGTTGTGCAGTTAAACAAACATTCAACCAGCCGGGTTTGCCATTGGACCGTAGGAAATTTAATCAATATAAGAGTAATCACAATCTTTAATATTTTGCTGTTTTTCTCAGACCTTGATTTGGAAGTGCCATTGTAGCCTTCAGAAAACGCTAGGATAGCTGTGGGTTGGATCCATTTCCAGGATTATTGCTAGTTTATTCACTATGGTCAGGCCCCTTAGGCTAAGATGCAAGAAAGTACTATGGTTGCTCTTGTGCTGGCTTCATTTCTTTTGTAGAAGCACTTGAAGTAATGCAATACAAAGCAGAGTTCCTTGTTTGTTTTCCGGTACGGGAAACAGGACGGTCATTAGGTGGGATCATATTTCGTCTTCGGAACTTGACCTTACCTGCATCCAATTTACAGTGTTAACTCAAGGTCCACAGACGACATATACTTGTACTGAACGAATATCTTTCTGCGTGCGTCAATTAGCGGGGCACAGCTTTCGGCACTTGTTTCTGCCAAAAGCAATTAGGCAAGTACGAAAGCAATCTTTGCACTTAAAAGGATTCTCCTCAACTATGATTGTATTAAGTCTCGCTGCTAAGCTTCCATAACTTCGACGGGTACTACATGCTCACTACTACACGCCGCCTGATCTAAGTACACGCAAACCATCTCAAGCTTTTACAGTTAAATTCCTCAGTCATTTGAAAAACCGCAGCATTCTCTGACTCAATAGACTGTAGTCTCGAACTTCAGCATCTTGCTTCCAATCTACCACAACTGTTACCTGGCTGACTAACCAACTGTGGCAATGCTGACTACCAATGTTGCTTCTCCCTTCGCCTACGTGTATAGTTCTCGCAATTACTACGGTTGGCTAGACTGAAAGCAATGACGTAGGCTTCCTGCTCCTCTGCAATGGATCTTGCCCTTGACCCCATCTTTTCGTTTTCTTAACTGTGCTACTTTGGTATATATTATTTATCCCTTCCAGCCGGCTTGACATGTCACATAAGCTTGAGGAGTCAGTCCAGCGTTGATTATTCTCGTTTTTACTTCGCTCACGTAGCACATCAACGATAACTGTCTTTAATTTGCAGCGTCGTTCTCAATCAGTTCCCTGTTCCACTAATCCAATTCCCCAGCACAACTGTTAGGAAGCACTGAAACAGACAATTCACGTAACTTAGCTAATTGTAGTCTAACCGCACCACACTGAGAGATTTGGCAAGCAATTGCATTTTTACCGGAATTAATCATCGTTCATTCCTCAGAGACTGATAGTAGTCGTTCCCTTGCATGTTTGGCTCTAGCCTTCACCGTCGTAAATGCATCACATGCATCTGTTACTTACTTTGCTTGTGTTTTAACTTCGCAAATCTCAATTATAACTGGAGGATTTACTAAATGAGTCAATGCTGCTCACACCTATTGTTCCTCTCTCCGCCTACCTCTATCATTGCTTTTGCTGCCACTAATTCTGGCTAGCCAAAACTACAGGCTTGGGCTTGCTGGACCATACCATCTCCACTGAGCGTACTACTAGTCGTTCACTAGCATGATTGTTTCTAGCCTTCACTGACTTCGCTGTGTAATAGACTTTTCGGTTAACATGATAGGTCAACAGTTTCTAGTGGATAACTTCATAAATGAAACAGTGCTGCCCACTTGTTTTACTCCTCACCGCTTACATTTATCGTTGCTTTTCCTTCTAGTACTGCTGACTAGCCAGTACGAAACGACGTTGGCTTCCTGCCTCTTTGCAGTGGCTCTTGACCTTGGCCCCCATCACCTCATTGCGTAAAAGCTTTTACATTGGAATATCTCATTTATCCCATCAAACCAGATTGACGTGTCAGATAAATCTGAAGAAGTTGCCCAGAAGCGAGTATTCTCCTTTTAACTTTTCTAACCGAGTATACCAGCTATAACTGTCCCCATGTTGTTTTGTTATTCGCATTCAATTCCAAGTTACACTACATAAATAACTAAATAAATAAATAAATAAATAAACTTTTCTTCTCGACAAGGCGAGGCACACTTTTACAGGCATGCTCATGCTTAGCTAACATAGTGTGATCAAAATGTACAAAGAGTACATGTTTGGCATAACAGTGTAGGTAAGTGTATGAGTGTATATACGTATGTAATTTTGGATGAATATAGCTTGTGTCTTTGAATATGCCGGAGCATTTTTGCCTGTTTGTTATCCTCAGGAATGTGAGCATAAGCGATTGATGTCTGTGGGTTGGATAGCACTTTCCGGATATCCACGGGCCAGTGACTTTATTTTGTGGCGAGTCACATCCGCCACGTCGCAGTGTTGTTACGCGGACGTTTGTGGCTTTTATAGGGAGAACGCTTGCCAGGCGAAAACCCACCACGTCCTGGAACACTGCCGCCGAACTATTTGCTGGAACGGGTTAAACCCGAACCACCCAGCTGGCACCACGAGGAGGTTGTTCGGCTAGTCAGCCAACAGCCGGTCAACTGCCTATATGCTAGATATAAGCTCAAACTGATAGTTCCCATAACTTTTAATAATTGCAGTTTTCCTACCACAACGCAAGACTTGTCAAGCACCTGCTTTTTCCCGGCATAAATCATTGTACGTTGTTCATTTCCCAAAGCCCTAGGCCATTAAGCAGGTTTCCAGTAGCTTTCCAGGTTTTCTGGAAGCTGTACTATAGATAACCATAAGAAAAACTGGAGTACTTTATGAAATGGGCAAAACTCATATTTGTTCAGATTTTAGCACACCGATCAAAAATGTAGCCCTTAATAACCAAAGAAAAAGATCCCACATACATTTTGCAGGTTGTCCAGCGGGCATTGTTCAACCATGTCAGCGTTTAAGGCCGCAAACGGTGGGTGCTGGCTTTTCCTAGCTCAAAAAATGGCATCCGTCTGTAGAAATCTTAACTTGTACATGACGTATTCCCCACAATAGTTACCGTTGTAGCAGCTGTGGTTTCCAGAATATTCCTCTTTCCGCCTTAAGAAGGCACTTGCATGTGTGTTGCACACGGCATCGCGAAAGTTGAACTGTGTTGGCGGGGTTCCTGAGCTGGTGAGACAGCATTGTTATTGAGATAGTTAAGCCCTGCTACAACCGTGGCTGCTAATTGGTCAACATCTGCAGGTTGCTTGCCTCCATATATTCCTATTAGAAATGCTTTTCCGATAAGGGGTCTCGTGCTTCGACACAAAATGATCCACCTTTGCAGACGTGTTGATTTAAAAATAAGCAATCCATCGAAGAAAATCTGATCATGATATGGGCAACAGCTTGCAACGCCCTACGTTGACAGGTGTGCAGCAAACGTGTTTCTAATCCTACGTGGCCGTATACGCCTAACCTAACGGCTCGCAGTGCCATTTTCCGCGTTGTATGCAATAATGTTCGGTAATCCGTCGGAACGAATGACGGCTATAACCTAAATACTCGACAAGGAGCATAGATGAATGAAGATGAAATAAAAATGGATGATTTATGCGAAGTAAAAAGCAGTTGCTTGAAAAGTCCCGCAGGATGGTGGGGTAAAACTACATTATTAAATGTTAGGTGAGTTGTCGATTTGAGCGTTTAGCTTGCAATTGCGCCGCTGAGTAATAGCAGTGTTACTGGGAATTTCTTGCGTAGGAGGCAAAAGGGGGCAGTTATAATTGATGTACTGCATTAAAAAGGTAAAAGAGGGTAAACTAAATTCTGTACCACCTCCTTAGCCTTAAATAAATACATAAATAAAAGGTATATTCTCGGCATAACGACACACACTTATGAAGGCAAGATCAAATATGCATACAGGCATAGCTTTGATGGAATAGTGAAACATTTTGTTTTAATGTAAGGTATAACCAAAAAGATGTAGCCCATACGAGTGAGCAGTTTGTCAGGTAATAGTCAGAGCGAGGAACATGATGGCACTGCGGCACGTAAAATTCAGTCATAACTGTTGTATCACTATACAAGTTGAGCATTATTTCGCCATGTAGTAATCAATAAGCACAGGAGCCCAAACAAGATGTTGGGGCAGTCAGAGACCATTAGGAAATCGGAATGTTCTGTGCTCCATCAAAGCATTCTTCATAGTAAACCCAGTTGCAAAGGTTGTATGTAAAAGTCTGAGCACTGCGTCAGTGTGAAATGTTCAGCCGTTGCATATTAATCCATTTTGAAGGAGTAGTTAATATATCCCAATGTACACATGTTATGCAACCAGATGCTGCTGCCAACGAAAAGGATGCAATCGCTTTTTCAAAGTAGCCAATGTGGGGAAGGGTACGATAGTTGAAGTAAACTACAGGCTTGGTAGATCCATAGAATAACTAATTCCGCCGGCAGTTTAAGCGAATAAACTGTGCATACATTTTCAGAGGGTTACCTCTGTTTCAGCAAGTGACTGTGTCCGTGCTTAGGGTCGCTCAATAGTCATAAGTTTGATATGCGATCTCTGCACAACCCTCAGTAGCGCCCTCCGAAATCTCCTAGTAACTTCAGCGTTTGATGGTAGGACAGGTTTCGTAGATGCATGACGTTAGTTGTGGCTTGCGTTGTGCTTTATCTAGCACTTATAAGCTGCGCTTCAGTCAAAGTTGCAAAGTTTGTATGGTGTATTCCACGTCAGGGCGCACGTAAGGATTAAACATTATTAGGAAGATAGGTGGGTCTAAACTCCTGAATGTTCTCCGTAACATGCCGATCTGCTGGTTGGCTCTCTTCGTAGTTGCCTAGGACCGCTATGAACAGCTAAGATCAACTTGAAGGAGCACAGTAATGTCGCATTCAAGCTAAGTTGTTTGCAATACATATGACTCAAGTTTATACGCGTGGTCATACCTAGAGTACAATTAAACAGCGTGGCATTTTCCACCTTGAACGATAGTGTATTCAGAACTGACCAGTTTGTAATCGTGTTTAGGTCAGGCTGGAGCTTTTCGTGGTCGTTCGATTATTTGATCGATCGCCATAACTTGATAGCATCTGCGAAGAAT